CCCTCCCAACCATTGCAGTGAGTCGCGTGCTGAGGTCCCGATTGCTGATGAGGAAATACGGCGAGCAAGGTGAGGTCTCGTCAACTGGTCGTGTGTCTGTGTCCTGAGGCCCTTCCTGCGTGCCATGTATTCTCTCGATTCTTTTTGACTAGGGCTGCGGTACATTGTGGTGGACGCCAACATGTGGAACAACCCCGGATTCTTCTCGCGAGGAGGGGGGGATCACCAAGGTACGCACAAACGCCCACGCACACGCACGCACCTCCCGTCCCCACCCGTCCCTCTGTGGCTGTCTGTGGCTGTCATCAATCAGATCTGATGGACCGGCTGCTTGAAACAAGTTCGTTTGCTCTGACCCCCACACAAGTGGTGTCGCTGGTCCAACAGCAGCGGGCGAGAGCTGCGCAGCGGCGAATGGCCAACTGGCGAATGCGCCAGGGAGGAGGGGGGGCCGGCAGTTACAACCGGCGGGGCGTCCGCGGAGGGGAAGGGGGAGGGGGAGGGGGCGGCTACAGGATGCAGCAAGAGAGGGGCGGCTATCGTGGGCGCACCACGGGCCAGCAGAGAGGGGTCTACGGGCAGCAGCAGGGAGCAGGGAATCGACCGCTGCGCAGAGGAGTTGGTGTTGGGGGCGGATACAGGGGGCAGCAGCAGAGAGGAAGGGCAGAGAGGTACTGAGCTACTTGCTTCGACTGGCTGAGTGACCGGTAAACGTGGCTGCCTGTCTGTCTCGAGGACGCGATACATGAGACGATGTGTCGATTGGCTATGCGATAGATAAACGGACTACGTGTGTCTCGGTCGGTCATGCAACCATTTATTGCCTTCGCAGCGCAAGACACACACACACACTCACATAGACGAACACACACACGTCGCCCATCGGCCGATCACTCACTCAGTCACTCAGTCACTGACGGGCAAAAAGATCACACACACACCACTCAAAGAGTATCTCACGGCGCACCACCCGACATCGGGAAGGATGGCCAACTGCAAGGCAGACGTTCCGTGGTGGGAGAACCAGCTGCACACCGCGAGAACCGACCTTTCCAACCAGAACCAGTTCTCTGCAGTGCAGAACCACTTCTCTGCAGTGGAGCACCAGTTCTCTGCAGTGGAGCACCCGTCAATGCCACACTTGCCAAAGACACTCGCCACGCTCCTGCACCCACAGGGGGCGAGACCAAAACATCCCCATCTGCAGTGCCGTGCAGTGAAGGAGGCGGATAGGAATGGATCCTCTCTTCCTCCTGTCCTACTAGTACATTTGGAGTACGTGTACTATTATTTCTGCAGCTGCAGAGAGAAAACAGAGAGCTTTCGGAGAGCTCCCGAGCGGAGACCGGCAAGCAACCAAGTAGCGTTGCACCTCAGTCCTTCGTCACTGTCCTCCAGGCCGCAGATCTTTGTGTGGCGAGCAGCCCAGCCGTCTTCCGCGACAGACAACAAGGTGCGTGGGCAGGCCCAGAGAGGAGGAAGGCCGTCGTGGGGATGGAAGGGCCCTCATTCCCTCTCTGTGTGTGTCCAGTGCTGCAGGTGGTCAAGAAGTGCTCTGTCGGCCACTTCGCTTTGGTCAGGGAGCTCCTCACGGATGGCCACGCGTCGAGAAGCAGCACCTGAGGAGCACCAGGAGGGCGGTGCGGGGCCCCTCAAGGACGGCGAGAAATTGGAACAACAGGACCAGGGCGGCAATGAGGCTGACGGTCAGCACCGAGCAGACAGCACGAGAGGAACACTCACTCATTCTGTGTGTCGATGTGTGTGTGTGTGCAGGTGAGCAGCAGCATGAGAGGGAGGGCAGTGGGATGGCCAGCAAGATTGAGGAGGAGGCGGAGAGTGACGAGGAGGACGACGAGGACGACTCTTGCGGCTGCCATGGCTGCCACACACACACACAGATAACACACAATAGGAGCACATGACACGGAGGGCAACGGTGGCGGCTCTTTGACTCACTCAGGGTAGATGGTGCGTGTCTGCCCTCCGTTGTTTGGCCACTGCCTTCGTTCGTTTGTTAACAGACAGCCAAGTAGACCAATTGAAGAGAGGGGCGTCAGGCAGGCTGAATATTAAGTAGCTCATCGGCGGGCCACCAGGCCAGCCGCCATCGACTGACTGATCAGAGAGATAGGGGCAGGTAGACAGACAGACGGACAGACAGATGGACGCGTGGATGAATGCAATGCGTGAGCGAAGGGACGGCAGGGAGATGTACACATACATATGTGGGCCTGGCTATTGACTGACTAATCCCTGGGCAGCACACCCTCTCCCTACTGACGTTTTGATCCGTACCTGCACAATTAATGCATACGTATGCCTGTAGAAACCGGGGAGAGATGCGTGCACATGCACCTTACTAACCGACCAACTGACTGAGTAGACGACAGACTGACTGAGTAGCGAAACGAGCTGACGCACGGCCGCACAACTGTAGGACTCATGACAGGAGACGACTCGATGACCTCACGACACCACCACCATCCCCCCCCC